TTTTTAGCCGAAAAAAACGACCATCTATAGTCAGGCGTTTTTAGCCCAAAAAAACGACCATGTATAGTCAGGCGTTTTTAGCCGAAAAAAACGACCATGTATAGTAAGGTGGTTTTAGCCGAAATTTTTAGCCCCAAAAAACGACCATGTATAGTAAGGCGTTTTTAGCCGAAAAAAACGACCATGTATAGTAAGGCGTTTTTAGCCGAAATTTTTAGCCCCAAAAAACGACCATATCTAGTAAGGCGTTTTTAGCTGAAAAAAAAACACCATGTATAGTCAGCCGTTTTTTGTCCCCCAAAAACGACTCTGTATAGTGAGGCATTTTTTTGTCCAAAAAACGACCATGTATATCAAGGCATTTTTAGCCCAAAAAATGACCACGTATCGTCAAGCGTTTTCGCTGAAAAAAACAACACATTTTCTCTTGAATAAAGGGATATAATTTTCTCAACAAAAAATATTGAAAATATATTTCACATGACATTAAATTTGATTGAATTATTATTTCAAATACTGTACTGCGTTGATTTAAAATGAACATGCGTGTGCCATTCTATATCCTCTAGGATGCGCTCTAACGCAGGAAGCTGATTGGGGCGAAGTGTAAAAGAAGACGAAGAAGAAGACCTGTCAATGGCTGTCATATTTTTAGCAACAACCACGTCCCTGGTCACATAACGTGGTGTATTTAAGAACCGTATCCTTAATTTTATTTTAGTAAGTGCGTAAAATGCTGCCAAATCGCTGCTAACACAGACAGACTTGAGGCGGACGCTCGTTAGCCACCGCGAGCGTGTTATTAGCGTCTCGTAGCTCCTTGCCGGTTGCCTTTTTCTTGCATTTTACGAACATGAGCGACGACGAAGCTACGGTCCGCAAGGACTCTTCGAAGGCCATCCTACTCACCAAGGACGGCCAGCGCTACATCGTGGGAGACAGCCGCTCGGTGGACAGCCGCGACGTGATCACGCTCATCCCCATGGAGGCCACCGACCTCATGGACCTGGACGACGCCGACGAGGAAAGCGATGTGCTGGATGCGTCCGACCCGCGGGACGGCGCCGGCAGCCCCGAGGAGCTGAACGACGACGAGGCGTCGGAGGGCGACGGCACCGCGCCGAAGCAGTGCACTTACGACGGCTGTACTGAGACCACCACGCAGGTGGCCAAGCAACGCAAGCCGTGGATGTGCAAGAAGCACCGCAACAAGATGTACAAGGACAAGTACAAGAAGAAGAAAAGCGACCAGGCCATGTCAACCAACAAAATTGACGTCAGTCCCCCACGCTACAGTGAAACCCCCGCCTACTCGCGGATTTTTTGGAGAATGATTTTCATTTCTTTTTTGGGAGGGGCGGGAGTGTCAAACCCGCGCTTTTCGTACGAAAAGCTTATTGATATGTGTCAAATATACGCATATTTTTAGGTATTTGTCCTTTTCTTCAGCCAACTGCTATTGTTGAACGCATGATACTATGTTTAGCACAACCATGCTCGTGATTCAAGTCATTCCTTTCTGAAATCCTCTTATTTTGAGTTGTTCATTGTCTGCCAAACTAATGTTTATTGTTTGGTTTCAGGACAACTGTGAAGAGCGTCCTGTGTCTGTCAACAAGCAGCGTTTAGGGGTGATGGGGGACCGGCCGGCCAGACCCTCCCTCATTGAGCAGGTGCTCAACCAAAAAAGACTGGTAAGTCGTCATCACCATAACCACAACACACAGTGAACACCCTGTTGATAATCCATCCTTGCACTATAGCGTATATTGATCATACAAAAAAAAAAAACGAACTTATTTGAATGTATATTAAAAAAAAACATATCTGTATAAACCACAAATTTTCATGATAGAGTGGCATACTATAGTTTGCTATTTTTCATGCTCATACGCTGTGCTGTTGTCCACCAGTCACTGCTGAGGAGTCCCGAGGTGATTCACTTCTTGCAGCAGCAGCAGCACATCCTGGCTGTGCAGAGTCGAAGTCTGGCGCTGCAGCACAACTTCAGCGGCTGTTGACGCTCCTAATACTCAGTCGCGCTATTATTTATTGTATGTACAGTTAAGAAGTTTGTGGTGCATTTTGTTGTTGTAGTTGATGATTTCATTTTTTTTTTTTTTTGTTCATACCAAGAGTTTTTTCCACTGTAGGTTTTTGAAAAAGTTCCAATGACTCAATGTTGCTGATGTAAAAATTGCACTCACGGACAAAGAAAACAAAACAAAAATGTTTTCTGGTCACAAGCTCTTTCACCCCCGCAGCAAACAAAATAATATTTCAATTAGTGAAACTCTTGATTTGCATCGAGCAGCTTTGTGTTACCAATTTGTATTTATGGGCATATCTCTAGCCTGATAATAATCCCTTGTAAAAAAATAAAACACCAAATCCATTTTAGCCTCAAAAAAACATTTAATATAAGTACAAACAAACATTGGTCGGGACATTAGAATAATATTAAAAGACAAATTGAACTCACAAAGAAGCGCTACGTGTCTTGAAGTGCCGTAGGCATGCACAAGAAAACAACAAAGCCGTACAGAAGCCAAATGCAAGTCAGTCTCACAGTAAACAAGGACCACATCCTGGAAGCTTCTGGAGGGGCTGTGCCCTCATCACAAACGCCGCCTTCCACAGCCACCCGCCCGTTTTCTACGACACAGACGAGATGGGGTTGTGCGGTGAGCCCATTTGGGTGAGGACCTTGTCCAGCCATTGGAGGGGACCATGTAGATGCACTTCGATCCAGCAGGGGGTGCTGGTCACATCCTGGCGGTGGTACTCAGCCCCCCAACCCTAGAAGAAAAAAAAAAAGCTTTGTCACTTCACTGAAATAAAAGCAACGTTTTCAACCATCTGTCATCTGGTGATGAATATTTAAACGTGGCTTTTTTAACTTTTGGCATCATGTCCCCGTACCACATTCGCGTCGCTTGGCCGAACTCATAAAATAAAGGCTAACACAAGAGGTTCCGTCCGAACGGGCAGCTCGTGCGGATTTTAAATTGCGGCGAGCACGTCTTACCTTGACAAAGCTCATGCGGATGGTGCACATCTTGGTGAGCTCGTAGACCACCTCGAAGCCGTGGTTGACGGACTGTGCGAGCAGCTGCGCAAAGAGCTGGTTGTTGAAGATCTTCAGGCTGCAGCCACTGGGGATCTTGCAAACGGTGGTGGCGTGGAAGCCGTGCTGGAAGTTGCAGTTGCGGCTCTGCACGAACACGCTGCTGTCGCTCAGGCACTCGGCGTACACCTCGCCACCCACGTAATACAAGTGCAAGCCTGGGAGAGCCATGGGGGGGGCATTGATTTATGACCTCGCGACAAATCCGTGTCGGAAAACTATCACGGTCAGGGGGCTGCAATGATTCACGGCAAACTGACCTTTGCCGATGTGTCGCCGCGTGTGCTCGATGGTGGAGTTGCGGTTGACGTTGGACAGCAGGCCGAGGCAGAAGCGGTTCTTGTTGTTGGACGGGTCGGTGAAGCCGTCCACCAGCACGCTGCGTGACGACGCGTGGAAAGTCTCGCCCACCCGGTTGTTCAGCTCGTAGTAGGCGATGGAGCACCAGTACTCGGGCTCCTCGTAGCACACGGGACGCAAATCTGGAGGACGGACGGAAAGTGTCGGAACATCTGGAGGTCACGCTCGAAGAAGCTGAACTTGCCTCTATGTGGCGCGGAGAAGGTAAGCTTGGTGGTTTCCGTGGAGTTGCCAGGCTTCACGTCCTCCTGTGGGTTCGACTCCATCATGCTGTACGGTGGAGGGGGAGTTTCTGATGGGGGGGAGAAAAAAAAAAGGTACATTTTCATGGCCAAACAACACGAAATCCTGAAGTCCCATGCTAATCGTCAGGTTCAAATACACAATTTCTTTTACTTGTAAGATAAAATATACCTTGGCCCCACGCAATCACACAAAAGACCCCAAGCCGGGATTCAAACCTGGAACCTTTTTGCTGCGAGGGGCTAATGTTACGTATCATACCATCATCACAGGACAATTTTGAGTCCAACCCGTTTAGGCAGCAAATAAGCCGGCTGGTGTCTTACCTGCAATGTGGTAAGGGCTACCCGGCTCAGTGGAGCTGCAGGGGGAGTCGGGGTAGCCCTGTGAGGCGGGCGAGCGTCCGTGGGATGAGGAGGACGGCGACGAGGATGAAAAGGAGGACGAGGAGCCTGGTAGCGGCGGGAAAGACTCCGGATAGGTGGCGTTCTGTGGCATCAGCGGCTCGTTGTGCAGAGATGCATTGCGGAACTTGGCCAGCAGGCTGTGCTGCGGGTTGAACTCGCTGTGGCGCGGCACCAGGACGGGTGGCAACACTGGCAGGAAAAGAGGGATGAAAGAAAATGGCACCCGAGGATCCGAGCTGAACTTTTTCAAAAAAGACAAAAGAGCCAGACAAACACGTTGACACCTGAAAGCATAACCGTATCAATAGAAACCCTTGGATACATTTTGCAATTCGCTGAAGATAACAACACACATCTTTTTACTGCTACAGCAGCCCGATGAGGCAGATTTACTCTTACCTGGCGTTTCCACACGTCGGTAGTGGTATGGATTGACACAGATGTCCTTCTGCTTGGAGCCGAAGGGAAACTCACAGCAGTCGAGCGCCTTGAGCTCGTGGTGCGACTGCAGGTCCGGCCAGCGCCATACGCGGCAGTAGATGACATGCGGCAGGCCCTTGCGGTGCGACACCTGCAGCCTCCCGTCTAGTGAGCGCGGGATGGTCACGCACTTGCCTGACAAGGGGGAAATAACGATGACAACACGGGGACGAGGGTGACACTTCCTGTTTGGACGCAAGGTCAGGTACGCCAGTGATAGAGATCCAACACACAAAAAATGTTGGTTTGTCACAAATCAATCAGGGGCTATAAATCTATGAACACATAAAATACAGGATTATATTAGTGGCTGTATTCAGGTGCCATAAGTCGATCAGTATTCCTTTTGTGTGTAAGCGTTGGTGTACCTCTCTACACCTCTACTTATGAAGGTTTTCACAAAGCAATGAGAGGCCATAGATCTGGCAGGTTACATTTTGACAAACAGTATTTTCTACCTGTGGATTTTATGATCTCCTGACACTAAAAGATCAACGGTAATTGTTTGAATTGGGTGCCATAGATCAAACATTTAATTTTCACCTAACCACCATCTCAAAACATCAAAGAGTAGATGGTTATACTGGTGGCCATAAATCATCAGGGGCCAAAAAAACCAACTGTCACTTCAATAATTTTAACCCACTGGATTTCACTGAAAGAGATGGCCACTCACTGGGCTGTCCGGGGCAACTGAGGGCCCGCTCCAGCTCCTCCATGGCGCCTTTCTTCTTCTTGAGCTTCTTCACCAGGGAGTCCACGGCTTTCTCTGCCCACTTCTCCTCCTCGTCGCCCTGCTTCCAGCCCAGCAGACGTTTCACCGCCGGGCTGGTGAAGGAGAAGAGTGACGTGATGGACGTGGATGAGTTCATGGTGCCTTTTTGTTCCTGATGCTTGGAATCGAGATGATTCTGGCCTAGGTTTGCCGCATCTGTTGAGAGAAGTGAGAAGATAATGATGCCACTTGTTGATTTGTTCTCTTACAAAATTCAAAAACAGTTTTTGTTTCTAGTTGATTCGCTGTCATTCAAGTGTGAAAAGGTGAACAATTATCATCCGTGCTGGATGCAATTTTTTTTTTAAATTAGTGACTTTTTACTGATTCACTGTCATAGAACTTTAAAATTGAAGTTAACAAATGTTAGCATATATTAAAATGTGTTATTGCCTTTTCATAACGTGCCGGATGTGGCCATAAAGAAGCCATCTTGTCATTTTTTAAAAGTTATTCCCGTATTTATTTCCAATTTATTGTTGAGTCACTGAACGCACTGACTTCTCTTTTTTTTTTTTTTTTTAATTAGCTACTAATTTTGACTTCATCGCACCAGCATTAGTTAACCACTATTGGTTCGTCACAACGCACTGACTTCTCGTTTTTTCGTTTGAATTAGCGACTAATTTTGACTCAGTCGCACCAGCATTAGTTAACCACTATTGGTTCGTCACAAAACATTCATTCAGAGGCCATGTGGAACGTACCAACTCCTGGCTTTACCACTATGAGCAACTTATTGTTTACTGCTACACAAGTGTGAAAACACATCCACAACTGTTAACAGATAAACACTCACCCTTTTGACCTGCGCCGGATGTAGTGATGAAAAGCGCCTTACTGTCCAAATGGTCCTGCCAAGTCCAGTACGCCTGTCAAGAAAGGTGAGAAGATGCTGGTGGTGAGGAGTAAGAAGATTTTCCAGGCAATAGGACAAGGAGGAAGGTCCTCTTGTGGCTTCTCTCTTTCTCTTGTGAAAGACGCCCAGGAGCCAAACTGTCTGGCCAGAACACATCACAGGACAGGAGGAGGAGGAGGGCTGTGTCTGTGTGTGTGTGTGTGTGTGTGTGTGTGTGTGTGTGTGTGTGTATGTATGTGTGTGTGTGTATGTGTGTGTGTGTTTACTTTTCGGTTTGTCCACATATCATCTGCTCACAATGATGCTGCATCACACCGGAAGTTGACAGGTCACACAAGTCAAACATATTGCATGATGACTTAAACAATAGAAAAAGGGGGAAAATGCTATTCTTTTATTTGTACACACTATAGCCTAGTAAACACACACTCAAACACAACTGCTTTATGGACGCCGGCGTCACACAGTCTGCCCGCTCAGATAGTCCAATTACCTAATGCTTTATCACCAGGAACCCCCCCCCCCAACCCCTTCCTCCTCCTCCTCTTCTTCTTCTTCCTCACGCCCACTCCTCGACAAAAAAAGTAAACAAGGCAGATCCCTCTAACTACTAAACTGAACGCAACGCTCACTCAAGTGTCATTCATAAACAACAAGCACCATTTCTTAATCATGATTCAAACTAATTATGAATCACCCTGTTCATTATAACCCAAAACCATGAATGGCATTAAACGTTAAAGTCATCCAAATTAAGATTTCAACATAAAGGCCACAACTTTAAATGACGAGTATGTGATGAATAATAACGTCTCACCTTCACGTTTGCATTCGTAGTAGCTGGTCGTAGTAGTCCACGCGGTGAGTCGCGACTGAAGCCAGCGAGAAGGTGCGCGTTAGTACTGCGTGGGCGCGCACTTGAGTGGAGGGCATCCGTTGTGGCTGTTTCAAAACAAAAGTTCCGGCATTTAAACAGAGACGTACTATGTCAATCTGACGCATCAGGTGTTGATTCAAAAAAACCAAGCGTCTGTGAGACAGCTTTTGGTGAATTTTGCCATATTTTGACATCACAATGGAGCTAATTTACAACACACAACAAGCTTCACCAATGACATGGTGAGAGAAAGAGACACTTTGACAAGCAGGTGACGCACTAGCGCGCCCAAGCCAAGTTCGAAGCAGAGCTGCAGGGGTACCACATATTAGCGTTAAATAAACTTACTAATAAAGTTAGACCAAGTTGTTTACATGAGGGTGGAGCGTATTTGTGTCTGTCCGTGTCATGCGCCATGTCAAGTGTGTTGCATTTACTTGATGACGAAGTGCTGCACACACACACCCACATAACTTGAGACTTGTTTGAAATTTGCTTATGCTTCACACTTAAAGTGACGTTTTCTCCCACCTCCGCCAGCGTAAAAATCCAAACCAGGATAGTACTGTACTCTTGTTTGAAATTTGCTTATGCTTCACACTTAAAGTGACGTTTTCTCCCACCTCCGCCAGCGTAAAAATCCTAACCAGGATAGTACTGTACTCTTGTTTGAAATTTGCTTATGCTTCACACTTAAAGTGACGTTTTCTCCCACCTCCGCCAGCGTAAAAATCCAAACCAGGATAGTACTGTACTTGACATAGCAGGTTATTGTTGTGAAGGGCGGAACCGCCCCGTGTGTTAATGTTGCACACTTGCCGCCGCAGGTCGGAGGCGGGCCGGCCCGCTGGAGTCTGAAGGGCTCCTGCAGGCTCCAGCCGGAGCGCCACTCTGCAGCCACGGCGGCGTCAGGCTGGCTGGAACCGCAGCGCCGGCGCTCCAGATCCCTCCGCCGCCTTCCCACCTGACAAACATGTTTGCATGTGTGCGCGTCAAGTCCTTGACGCATCACGCCTTTATTTTACGGCGAATCCGGTTCACAATAAATTATATCCAAAGAAATGCGCGTTGTCACGTTAAAGTCACTAAAATTGAAAGTTACTTCATTACCTTAAGTGGGGAGGTCGGTAAGGCGGGCGGAAGGATACAGAACGACGCCGTGCCGCGGCGGTCTAGTCCGGTTAATGACGCAAGCCTGGCTGGCGACGCTCAGTCTGCAAGTTTGACATTTTCACAGTTTACAGCAACTGCCGCGGAACATCACCCCGCCGCCGCCAGGAGGAGGGGAAAGCATCGTGTCCCCGTTTTTTGCACAGCGGTTCGTCTGGTGTGACGGCGGAGTGGCCACCGTCCTCCACGCTGTAAAGAGGCTGCGGTCGGCCGGCCCGGTGTCGCGACCAAAGTCCGCTGTTGAGCTGGTTCAACGTCTGAGAAGATAGTTGACCAATTGAACCAACAGAAGCCTATTGTTTCATACATAGTTATACTCCTAACGTCAACCAAAATACACAAAAAAATATTTGAAATATTTAAATTGATTTTACATATACCAGTGCGTGTTGAATTAAGGAAAATGGTGGGGGAACTTGAAACTGTACATGCCGTAAATGTGTGTACAGTATTTTTATTGAAGGGAGGGGATGACAGTCGTGGGCGATTTGAAACCGTCCCTACAACCGTCTGTATAACCACCATATTTGCACAGGTTCCATAGAAACGCACTCCTGTTGGTCTTAAAAGGCTCACAAGTTCATCACAAACAGTAACACATGTAAATAAGTATTTGTATGGGAGCGAAGACAGTGTTCAAAGGGGAGTTTGAAACAGTCCCGAGAACTATCGGTCTCCTCATCACATTTCCACAGGTTTTCACATAAATAGTACCTGTTGGTGTTTGACAAGTCATGGGGGAAATCTTGCAGCAGTCAAATAAAAAAAAAAACGCATTAGAATGATCATACGTAACCGGAGGACACCTTTACACAGGTGTGAGATCTGCACCTGGATAAATAGACTTTTACTTTTTTTCCCTGAAACATTAAGAATGAAGCATCCATTTATTAATGCTAGACAGGGCATTGAAAAGATCTGCAGTTCATAATTTGATAAAGACACGATAATAGTCTGTGTGCATGGAAAATAAACACAATATAAAGGTCCTTTCAGTAAACCCACTCAAAAAAAAAAAAAACGGTTCGAAATTTGCTCCACCTTGACTGAGGTGTCCGTTCCGGCTGAGGTAAAACAGCCTCAAAGCATGACGCTGCCACCATTTGGTTTCACCATTAAGTTTTGAAATGAGTTATCTTGGGCTCTTTTTTTTTTTTTTTAAATATAATAAAAACATGGCATTTGTACAGGGCTGCGTGGACTTTAAATATCTACTGCAGTTCCTACAACTAAAACAAATTCCAATCTGGGTTCAGAGTTGCAAATCCAAAAGGTCCCCAGACCTCTCGAAGGTACTGCACTGCACATGCAGGTTCTTCTTTCAGGCCTCGATAAACACGGATGGGTCAAATGATTACAAACATCTGTTGAGTACAATAGGACTGCTTTAATTTTTTTTTTTTTTGCAATACTCACTAACCCCCACGCCTCCCCCCAAAATCCTTTTGATAACAATGATGAATGAGACACAATTGTCTGTGGTTAAATGTTTGTTTTTAATTTTCATTAGTAACACCACTGGTTCCTGAACCGATCAAACGTATTATCCCACCCTTGCAGGGCCTTCTTTAGGCCCTGGTAAATTACCCTGGAACTAAGTTTTGACAACACACCAAAGTTCTGGGTTAACGTTCTTGCGGCCGGAATGTGCAATGAGTTACCAAATATGGTCCAATAAGTTGTCGCGCGTTATGTGAGTGGCGTTTTATTGTCATTCATGAAGATTAAGAATGAAGATGTTGACATACACTTACTGAGGAACGCCCAGCGGGCAGCATGCGGCGTGCCATTATGAGTGTAGATGTACACACAAACACACACATGGGAGAGCAGTACATAAATAGGGCAGGAGGAGAGGTCTGGTCACGGTCTCCGCCAAGGAGACGAGTGGCGTCTGTCTCCTCGTCCTCCCACTCGGTCTCTGGGGATGATACGCAGCTCCGAGCCGTGCTTCAGGAACACATTGCCTGCAAGCGCACAGGAGAAAAAAATGCGAGGAAGGTACAGCCGGAGCGACAGAAAACTGCGACAGTGGCCGGGTGTCATGAGGCAGCGCATTTGAATCATCCTGTTTCTGAATAGTCAGACATGTTCAAAATGTGACCAAAAAATAAATAATAATAATAATAATAATATTTTAAATGTCAACATTTCCATTGAGGTTAAATATTTTTATTCTAATTCAAAATATTTATGCTATTTGTGAGTAGCATATTATTGACCAATGAATATCACAGCTCACCTGCTGTTTGCGCAGGGTTGATTCCTATTCCATCTGCAAGGAGAGAATGCAGCATGTTGAAAAAAACATACATACATATTATATATATGTATAAAAAAAAAAAAATCCTCGTCTCACCCATCGGGTGGTGTCCCTTCCTCATTCAGC